AAGCATTGACTGGTGCCATCAACAAGGTCTGGAGTTAGTTGCAAGATGGCACTTTTCAGAAACATGACACAGTTTTGACTCACCTTTGAAACGAAAGCCATAAGAAATATTTCAAGAAGGCCATTACAGTAGGAAGGGGAGAGATGACTTATGGCCTCAGAGTCGAGTTAATGGTAGGATAGAGAGGATGGGGAACACAGCCAGTTAAGTATTGACTGAGTCCCATGGGCAAATTTAAAGCAGAGTTTGTTTTTTCAGGTCAGGTACATTAAAGTTCCGTCAGCTGAGGAAGAATTATTCCATGGTCTGTTGGATGTTACTGCATGAATGCTATAGTCAGCTGACCAAATGTAGTTCCCGAGTTATTGTTTACACTAGAAGACAGTCCAGCCATATCCTCAGACTTCAAGGACGAAAGCTGCCTTTATTTTCACGATTGTAATTGTTCATAATATCTCTCCTCTGCTGGGCACTATTTTTCCCCTTTTCCATTAGCCTTGCTTTGCTGTTCCAGGCAAGTCTCTAGCTTAGTCATTGGGATTGTAAAAGGAGAAGCTAGACATCCTTTAGTTATTAATTATGATGGGATGAGTATTCAATAAGTAGACTGTTCTTGCTACTTCCTTCTCTTCCTCCCTCTTGTACTTATCTCCTGGGGAAGGGAAGGAAAAACAAATGGCTCGCCAACCAGACATAACAGATCCTGTTAGCCCTGCCCAAAGGAAGCTGATGATTAAAATGAGGTTTTTATTCATAGGGTTGTTTTTCTGAAGTTTGGTGTCTGTCTCTGTGTGTGTGTGTGTGTGTGTGTGTGTGTGTGTGTGTGTGTGTGTGTTCTTCTGAGAGATAGTTTGGTATAGCGGGAAGAAGACTACACCAAGAGTTTAAAAAAAAAAAATAAAACTTGAAGTGCTAGTTCAGTCCCCTCTTTGCTTTAACGCCTCCAAGGAAGGGGAATCCATCACTTCTCTAGGCAGGCTCTTCCATTTTGGGGCAGTTGTAATCAGTGAGAAGATTTCACCTGACGTCAAGCCGAAATTGCCTTCACCAATTGCTCCTGGTTCTATCCTTGATTCCAAAAGGAAAACATCTTATCCCTTCTTCGTCAGGACAACCGTTCAGGTACTTGAACAGTCATGTTCCTTTCCTTTTCTCCTTCCCCTGACCCTTCTTGGCTTTACTGTAGCCTAAATATGCCCATTTGCTTCAGCATATGTTCAGATTCAAGGTGAAGGGTCACCATTCTGATTGCCTTTCTCTGTACACTCTCCAGCTTATCAATATCCTTCAACCATGATGCTCAGAACTGAGGTTTGACAAGGGCAGAATAACAGTAAAACAATTATTTCCACACCCTGGAAGCCATGACTCTCCTAATGTAGCCCAAGTTTAACCTACATCACCCTTCCGACTCATTGACCTTGCAAGTTCACTAAAACTCGGGGGGTCTTTTTCAGAACAATTCTCTCCATCCATGCCCTTTGTTTTTTTTTTTTTTTTTTTTGGAATTAGCCTTCTATCCTGTATTTGTGGAGTGGGTTTTTTTTTTTTTTTAAACCCAAGCACAAGACTTGATGTGTATCCCTATAGAATTTAACTTGATAGATTCAGCCTGACACCTTAAGACTGTCACAAACCTTTTGGATCCTTACTCTGCCATGCAGCATGTTAGCTGTCCCTCCCAGTTTTGTATCATCTGCAGATTTCACGAACATAACATCTGTCCTTAACAAATGTTTAATAAATGCTTGTTCATTCATTTATCTTGTGTTCAGGAAGCAGCCAGACTGCTAGTTTGCTTGTACCTAGAGCGGATGAAGAGGCACCAATACAATTAACCTGGAAAATCAGGTTGGAGCCCGATTGTGAGGAGTTTCAAATGCCAGTCAGAGTTTGTCTTTGATCCTAGGTGCAATAGAAAGCCACAGGAGTAGCAGGGGGAGTGCTTTGTTCTGATCTGTGCATCATCTTGGCAGCAGTGTGAAGAGGAGAGACCAGCTAGGAGGCTGTCACTCAGCAAAAGGTGATGAGGGTCTGCAGTAGAGTAGAGGTTATGTAAGTAGATAGAATGGATAGAGAGAAGAGATATTTTGGGAGGTAAAATCAACAACTTTCTCTGTTTGGCGTTCCAAGCCCTTTATGACTTTTATGTGTGTTTCCACACTTCCAGTCTTCTTGCACTTAGAGCCATCCATGTACTTAATATGTGATCCAGTGACACTGATCTTCTTCTTGTTCCTTGAACAACATGCTGCATCTCTTGACTCTGGGCATCTTCACTGGCTGCCTCCTCACCTCTTCCTCCTGGCTTCCTTCAAGGCCCAGCTAAAATCTCACCTTCGACAGGAAGCCTTTCTTGATGTCCCTTCATTTTAGTGCTTTCTCTTGGCTGATTGCCTCTGGCATATTGTCTTCCCCGTTCAACTGTGAGCTCCTTGCCAGCTGAGATTTTTTTTGTTTGTTTGTTTGTTTGCTTTTTTGGGTTTTTTTTTGGCCTTTCTTTGTATCCCCAGGGCTTAGGACAGTGCCTGGCACATCATAGGTGTTTATAAATGTTTATTGACTGAATCACAGGGGGAGGGAAAGGAAGTTAAGGATGACTGTAAGGATGACCTGGACAGAAGAAGAAATAACAAATTGGGGAGAGGGTTGGATTTTGGGGGGAAAGATAATGAGTTCTCTTTGGACGTGTTCAATTTGAGATTCTTATGCCTCCATCATCCAGTGAGAAATATCTGTGCTAGGCATTTGAAACAAGAGAAAAACAAAATTTAGGCCTTGCCTTCAAGGAATTTCTATTTTATTAGGGGAGATAGTACATAAATATATAGAAACACACAGAGGAATTTCCAGGGAGAAGAACATTAGCAACTGGGGACATCAGAGTAGATTTCTTGTAGGAGGTGGCTTTTGAGAAAGCTGGGAAGTATATGAAGTATATGTGGTATATGGGCAATTAAGTGGCGTAGAGGGTAGAGTGCTGGGCCTGGAGTTAGGAAAACTCATCTTCCTGAGTTCAAATTTGGCCTCAGACACTAGCTGTGTGACCCTGGGCAAGTCACTTCACCCTGTTTGCCTTAGTTTCCTCATCTGTAAAATGAGCTGGAGAAGGAAATGGCAAACCACTCCAGTATCTTTGCCAAGAAAACCCCAAATGGGATCACAAAGAGTAGGACAAGACTGAAAAAAAACTTAATGACAAAAATATACTACCTAGTGCGTGTGTCTGTGTATGTATGTGTATGTAGATACATGTATATATTTATATGTGTACCTATGTATTGTACATATAGGCATGTCTGTACACATATAATGTGTGCATATATGTATGTGTCTAGGTAGCATATACATGCATGTGTATGTATATGTGCCATGTGTGAGGAATGCAAAGACAAAAACGAGAAAAACAAGAGGCCATGTGATATGGTGGATAGAAAGGTGACTTCAAAGAGTCAGGTGCTATTGATTATCCCAACTGAGATTGGCTGAGGTTACATGACTTGCCCTGGGTCACTGTCTGATTCAGGGTTTGAACTCAGATCTTCTCTGTTCAAAGTCTAGCACTCCATCCCCAGGCCGCCTCTGCCTTGCCCAACACCTTCTTTTATTATGTGTAAGGTGCTGCCTAGATGCAGTTCAGAAGTTATTCTCAAGGAGTATACTTTCTAATGTGGGATCAGGGTAAACTCACATTTCTTTAGAATTATAAGATTTAGAATTATAAGACCTCTTTGCTCACTACAGCCTGATGAGGTGGGCTCCTATTTTCCTCATTTTATAGATGAGGAAAATGAAGTTTGCAGAAAGTTAAGTCATTTGCCAGAGGTCACACTTCGGATGAGTGTTGACACGCAGATTTGAACTCTAAGCCCTACGTCCTTTCCACTGTATCGCACATGTAGAAAAATAATACCAAAGAGAATAAGAAAAGGAGAATGTAGAGGTCCAGGCAAAGCCTGGCCAGTATTTGAGAGGGCAGAAATAATATTCTTGGGGTGGACAGCAGGCTTGCCTGATTTGGCTTTTTTTTTTTAAATTTATTTTTAGTTTTCATCATTCACTTCCACAAGATTTTGAGTTCCAAATTTTCTCCCCATCTCATCCCTCCCCCCACCCCAAGATGGCATGCATTCTGTGTATCCCTTCTCCTAATCTGCTCTCCCTTCTATCTCACCCCCCCTTCTATTTTCCTGTAGGGCAGGATAGATTTCTACACCCCATTTCCTGTATTTATTTCCCAGTTGCATGTGAAAACAATTTTTTTTTAACATGTGTTTTTAAAACTTTGGGTTCCAAATTTTCTCCCTTCCTCTTTCCCCACCCATCCTCATTAAAAAGGCAAGCAACTCTATATGGGTTATACATGTGTAGTTATGCAAAACACTTCCATAGTAGTCATGTTGTGAAAAACTAAGTATATTTCCCTTCATTCTATCCTGCCCCCCATTTATTCTATTCTCTCTTTTGACCCTGTCCCTCCTCAGAAGTGTTTGCTTATTATTACCTCCTCCCCCAATCTGCCCTTCCCTCTATCATTCCCCCCCACCCCCCCCCCCCCCATTTTCCTGTAGGATGAGGTAGATTTCCATACCCAATTAAGTGTGTATGTTATTCCTTCCTTAAGGCACTGATCTGGCATTTGAAACAAGGAAACTTCCCACTTACCCTGGGGTGAGATACCGATTCCCCAGCCTGGCATTTAAAGCCCTTCACAACCTACTTAAAACCTCTCTTTATAGACTTAATTCCCATTACTTCCTTTCACACACTTTAGGTCCAGTCACCTGGCATCCTGGCTATTAGTTCTTGAGCTCATCCTTCCCCAGTCTGTACCTTCATAAAGACCACACCCCCTCCTAGCTTCCTCCAATCAGAGGTTATCTTTATTCCAGGCTCAGCTCATTTGCACTCAAGCCTTTACTGGCCCTTCTCTTCCCCTCTCTCCCCATTGGTACTTTCTTCTTCTTCAAATTCATTTTTTATTTTTTTGTTGTTTTCAGCTGTGTTCGACTCTCTGCGACTCCGTTTGGGGTTTTTTTGGCCATTTCCTTGTCCAACTCATTTACAGATGAGGAAACTGAGGCAAAGAAGGTTAAGTGACTTGCCCAGGGTCACACAACTACCAAGTGTCTGAAACTTGATTTGAACCTGGTAAGACAAGTTCTTATTTGCTTGTGTAATTTGTATTGGTTCAGTCCCTATGATAATAACAACATTAACTAGCATTAATGTAGCCTTTTCAGGTTTGCAAATAGTACCTTGGAAAAAATAACACACACACATAAAATTTCCTTTTCTACTTGAAGGCAATCACAATTTAGGGTCCATGCTCTCTTACCCCCCTTTCCCCCCCCCCCCCCAAAAAAAAGCCTTTTCAAGCTTTGGAGAGAATTCAGTAGACATCTTTGGGGAAAGGGAAAGAGTTCATTCTTGGTGTGAAGCTCAGAGACTAAAGAGGACCGTACAAGAGCAGTAGACCACTTTTCTTCCCTCCTCATCTGGATGGGATAGCCTCTGTCTTTTCAGTGAAAATTGTTTTTGTTTGGGAAAGTTTGGAGGGCCATCTCTCACCATTCCCCCTTCCCTTCTCTCCAAAAAGGAAGCTTTCCTATGATGTCATGAGGAAGTCCCGGCCCTTGGGTTTCATCTATCTGGGTTATCCTGAGGTCCTACTGACTTTGTTTACTATGCCACCCACCTCTGGAGGGTGTTGAGTGAAAGAGCTTAATTAAAAACAGCTGCCTGTGGCTTAGGAAATTTAAAAAAAAAGCCTTCTGGGCAGACTGAGTCAGCAGTGACAGTACTGAGGAGCACTGCTAGCTGGGCCTGCTCACTTGGCTGCTGCATTTCCTATTCAGAAAGAATGGTCTTTAGGGCCAAATTAGGCATTTCCTTTTTGATACTATACCAGGTGTTTCTAACCATTTGATAGTATGCTGCCTGCCTCGGAAGTACTAAAGAGAAACAACTAAAAGCTATTTTTGAGTTTCCCCTACAATTCAAGGGACACAAAAACAAAGCCACGTGTGCGTGAACACCTTCCCCCCACCCCCCTCAGTTGGGTGGTTGGCTGTGTTCATGTTTGATAGCTTGACAAGACTCCACAGCATCCTCCGTGGGGAACTCTGGCTGTTTGCTTCCTTATTAAGAGAACTGGCAGATATGAACCTGGACAGGACAAAACTGGGAAAATGGGTGCCCTGGAAGGCTGCCTGGGATGCTCATCTGTATCTGTGTGCACAACCCTAGTGGGATGAGGGGAGGACAGGGAAAAAAGGAAAGGCCTGATTATTTTAAAGGATTATGTAGAGTGATGTCTTTATTACAGAAAAAAGACAACCCATTTTTATGGTGTAGAAAAGATGTCCTGTCTTTTTAGTGAAAAGGCTTTAGGTGGTATTTCCTTTGGAAAAAAAAAAGGAACTTTTCTGCCCTGGGTTTTGGGACAGGGGTCATAATTACAGTTATACTGCTCAAAACAAAACAAAAAAACCCTAACACTTGTTGTTTAGTTGTTTTTCTTCCTGACCCTATTTTGGGTTTTTTGTTTTTTGGGTTTTTTTGGGGGGGGTGGGGCAAAGATACTGGAGTAGTTTGCCTTTCCTTCTCCAACTCATTTTGCAGATGAGGAACTGAGGCAAACAAGGTTAAGTGACTTGACTAGGGTCACACTGCTAAGTGTCTGAGGGCGAATTTGAACTCAGGTTTTTCTGACTCCACACCTGATGCTCTATCCACTGGGACACCTACTCGCTACCTTAACACAGTAAAGCATAAATCTCACCAGAGTGAATTTCTCAGGGTTAGGGTGGGATGGAATGGGTGGAGAGGGGGACAACACATCAACCATTTTGGATTGTATAGAATCTTGTTCACATGGTTATGTTCTGATAACTCATATTTCTTGTTTGCACGCTCTCTCTGCAATTACTGTCCAAATAAGAGAAATTGTGTTTTGAACATAGAGGAGAGAGGTGTGGACACGTAATACCCTTAATTTTTTGCTCTTTTGGACCTGGATTTTTTTTTTTTTTTTTTTTTAAGAATGGCAGGCTGATAAGATAGAGTGGCAGCTTAGTAATTAGAAGACACAGGCTGGAATCCTGGCCTTGAGAGAAGCTAGCTCTGTGACCTTGGGCCAGTCTCTTTCAAACTCTTTTGATCTTATTTTCCCAATCTGTTAAACAAGTATAAGAAAAAACTTGTATCACTTGTCTCACAGGGTTTGTTTGGTTTTGGTTTTGGTTTTTTTTAATAGAGGAATGCTTTGTAAAATTTAAGGCTCTATACAAATGTGAGTACAAATTGTTATTCCTTACAATTCAATTCAGGAAATATTTATTAAGTGCCTGCCATATGAAAGACACTGTGCTTATTATGAGTTGTTTTATTTTCATGAGTGGATGTTTGGGTAGGTTTTGTGAGGCATAAGGGAATTGAGGAATTGCAGGAAAAATTTCAATTCACATTCAGCTATTCTTTCCCTGCCTAGAATGCAAAAAGTGCTCAATCAGGTTCTTTCACTGTACAGTAAAAACAAAAAAAAAAAAACGAGACAACACTGTGCAATGAAAACTTGAAGCCAGCTCAATATATGCAAGTATGGATTTATTCAAGAGATAAATTAGGATGTGGTTATTCACATTACAGAAGGATTTGTCAGAGAGAGTCCTTTAAATAGCAAGTTTCCTAGTGTGTGCATTCAAAATGACTCAATTAAAAACCTCCTTAAAACTCCTGCCCTGATTTCTTGCCCTGGTGTGGGAGTTCTCAAAGCAAAGTTTGTGCTAATGGAGTGCACATTGTGCCCCATCCCACCCAACTGGAAAGGCTTCAGGTGTGGGGTCCAATATGCCTGGCTTCCTCGACTGCCATTCTAGATTAGTTTGGTAGAAGGGTAGTATTGCGGCTAACCTCTTTTCCCCTTAAGGTATTTTGTGTTTGTTTCTTTTTATACGTCTTGTTTTCCTCGGTAGAATATAGAAAAGGACAGTTTTATTTTTGTCTCTGTGTCCCAAGTGCCTGGCACATAGTAGGTGCTTAATAAGTGTCTGTTGAGTCAATGAATGATAGTAACCTTTTGTCACAAAGACTCTTGAATTTCAAAACATCTTATATGCACACAAGCAGATTTAGAACTCTGAGGTGAAACCCATGTCTTCTGATTCCAAGGTCTCTTTCCATTATAACAGTTCCTTTTGCCTCCTCTCTTTATACATAGACATAAACACAGAATCACAGAATTTCAGGGTGTCATGTAAGGTAGCTGGTAGTACAGTAGAGTAGCCAGGCCTGGAATCGGGAAGACCTGAGTTCAAACTTGACCTTTGATACTTAACTAGCTGTGTGATCCCTGACAAGTCACTTGTCCTCTGTCTGCCTCAGTTTCCTCAGTTGTAGAATGAGATTAATAACAGTACTTATCTCTAAGGGTGATTGTTAGGATCAAATGAGATAATATTTGTAAAATGCTTAGTAATGTCTCACACATACTAGGCACGTAATAAATCCTTCCTTCTTTCCTTCCTCACTCCTTTCCTTCCTTGGGTCTCTTAACTTATAGAAAAGGCAACTGAGACTTGTTGCATTTGCTGTTGTAGAGATTATTCATAGTTCTGAAATCATAGATGCTTTAAATATTGAAGGATTAATAAAACTTTTCAGAAGTACATCTGTTATGTACAATGTCTTATATGTCACTCATGAGATTAACTTATTGTCACTGTCATAGGGGAGCTGGGGTAGTTGAGCTCACTGTGTTGTGTTGGGAAAGCTGTAGCTGCTGCCAGTAGACTTGGTGAGGGCACCAGTCTTTGCCACATTGAGCCTCGTTTGTTTCCTTTGGCTTATTTGCCTTAAAAGGAAGGAGTAGTAAGTGATCCTATAGACCTAGAATTTTGGAGCTGGAGGAGAGTGTTAAGGATCACTTAATCCAGTACTCCCTTTTTTGCTGATGAAGAAACTGAGGATCTGATAGTTGGAATAGCTTATCATACATCTAGTAAGTTGAAAAAACCAGGGACTCAAACTCTAGTCATTTAACCATAAATTCACATCTTTTCCTGCTGCGCTCCATTGCCTGTCACTTCTTGCCCGCAGGGCCACAAGGATCTCAGCGTGTGGCACAGTAAAATGAAAGGGGTTCTGATTTGATGCAAGAGGACTTCAGTTCAAGTCCCTTCCACCACTTGCTGTCTGGATGATCTTGGGCTTTCATTTAATTTTTCTGGGCCCAATTTCCCCATCTACAGAATGAGGAACTTGGACTGGATGATCTCTAAGATCCCTTCCAGCCCTAAATCTGTGATCTTGGGCATTTAGTAAATCCTAGTTGCCTGGCTTGTGTCCCTGGGGAAGTCTTGTGTGCTTGTGCTTACTAACTACCTGAGGTCTTGGGCTCAGAGAAACCTGAAGGGTTTGGGGCTGATGCCTCTGTTACAGACTCAGGAGCAGCTGCATTCTTTTTTTTTTTTTTAATTTATTTATTTTGATTCATCAGCAATCACTTCCATAAGCTTTTGAGTTTAAAATTTTTCTCCCCCTTCCTCCCCATCACGGCGCACAATCTGATATAGGCTATCTATATACATTCCTATTAAACATATTTTCACATTAGTGGTATTCTAAGTAAGAATTAGAACCAAGAGGAGAAACCATCAGAAAGAGGAAACAGAACTCACCAGAAGAAAAAAAAATAGCACATGGTATGCTTCAATCTGCATTCAAACTCCATAGTTCTTTTCTTTGGATGTGGATAGCATTTTCCATCAAGAGGCCTTTGGAGATGTCTTAGATCCTTGCATTGCTGAGAAGAGCTAAGTCTATCAATGTTAGTCATCACACAAAGTGGCTGTTACTGTGTACAACATTCTCTTGGTTCTGCTCACTTCACTCAGCATCAGACCATACAAGTCTTTCCAGGTTTTTTTGAAGTCAGCCTGTTTATCATTTCTTATAGCACAATAGTATGCCATTACATTCATATACCACAGCTTGTTCAGCCATTCCCCAATTGATGGGCATCCTCTCAGTTTCCAATTCTTCGTGACCACAAAAAGAGTGAGCAGCTGCATTCTTGATACCACCTTCTGAGCCATTCCCTCCTATTTCAAGTATACCATTATCTGAGGTTGCAGTGAGGGGTGCTGACAGTTACCTGGCTGGGACCAGAGGAAGCACTGGAGCCTTGCCTGACTCATCTTTCTGTGGGCCATTAAGTAGGAAATGGATTTAACTTTGTTATACAGAATGATTCTTTGCTATGGGAAGCATTAGGTTATCTCTGGGGAGCCACAGGCCCGGGGCAAAGGGCATACCCAGCAGTTTGGCTCTGAAAATGAATAAAGGTTGTGTGATGAGAAGAGTGTGTGTGTGTGGGGGGGGAGGTTGGCATTGTGAGAGGTGTCACAAAAGGAGATATGCAGCTATTTGAAATGGGCTGCATTGGGAGGTAGTTGATTGCCCACCCCCCCTTAAAATTTTTAAGCAAATTTTCACTAAGCCCTAAGTGGTTGTGTTGTAGAGTTCGAGTAGAGTGTGTGTGTGTGTGTGTGTGTGTGTGTGTGTGTGAGAGAGAGAGAGAGAGAGAGAGAGAGAAGGAGAGAGAGAGAGAGAGAAGGAAGAAGGAAAGGTCTATTCAGTAGGTCTTGGAATCAGAAGCCAAATCCAAGCTCCTTCACCTAACTAGTGATTCACTGAACTACTCCAAGGTTTCCTCCCTTGTTAAATGTTTTCTGCCTTGTTTACCTTATAGGGTGGCTATGGAGATTTAAAAAAAAAGTCAGTTACTGCAGTTATAAGTTAGTACTTCATTATTATTTCTAGTACCATATCCCTGTATGTGTGTAGCATAGAATTTAAAGCTGGAAGGAACCTTAGAGATCATTTTGTCAAACTCACTCATATTAAAGGTGAGAAACTGGAAGCACCTTGACTGAGATCATATGTGTGGGGACTGTCTAGGGCTAGCATTTGAACGCCAGGGCTTCTGATTAGAAATCCAGTCCTTTTTTCTCTTACATCACTACTTATACTAATAAAGATCTAAGTGTTAACACAGGGCTTTTTTATGGAAATATCTTTCTTGACATATTGAAGAATGTAGAATATCAGAGTTTAAGGCTAAGTATAGTTTGGGAAAAAAGAATTATTGCTTCTTTCTTGATGTTAGTCAATGTGACAAAAATCTTTACTTCTCTCCTCAAGGTTTTGGTCCTGATCTTTTGACCAGAAAAGAAATAAAAAGATGAGCCTTCTGACAGTTTCCTCTGTCTGTTTTATGGAACTACCGCTCAAGGATTTCCAAGACCTGTGGATTTACAGACATAGCAAGGCACCTGGGGGAATGCTGATGAAGGAATCCTCTGGAATGCCATGCTGCTATCATTTGCATTGTTTTTTCCAAAGATGGCTTGGTGAAGAACCCATATTGAGTTTCTTGTGGGAGATCTTAAGTTGGATTCTTTTGAAGGCTGATTGAGAAGAGGAGGGCTTTTTCATTGAAGGAAGAGATTTTGCTTCATCCCTTTCTTTTTAAACAATAGTGGTCTTTAAAAAGGTAAGTAAGCTCCTATATGCATCTGATATATCTGGGTATTTTAGATTGGGGTCATTGTGTATCGGTAGGGGAGGGCTCACTAAAGGCCACTTCTGACTATAGCATCTGTTAGGTATTTTCCCAGAAATTGCCATATTGAAAATTGTATACGCATGGGTCAGGTCCCCAGATATCAAAACTTAGATTTCAGCAAGAAAATAATTTTAAATTATTTTTAGAAAAAAAAATTCTTTCTTTTGAAGGAGGAAACTGTTTTAAAACCAAAAAGTTTTTGAAATGCTTGAGGACTTGTGATAATTTTTCATGTGGTGTTAAGACGCTAGATTATTTCAGATTATGGAGTTATTATTTGATATCTGCTGACTCTTTGATAGGTGATCAAATATCTAGTGATCAAATAACCATAACACCGTGTGTGTGTGTGTGTGTGTGTGTGTGTGTGTGTGTGTGTGTGTGTG